TAAATCATCTCTTTAATGAAACCTATTTTTGTGACTTTGAATCTTGGGTACTAGTTTGGTGACAAAAACTTGGATTGGTGCTATTTTTGGCATTTATTCTTTATATTAATAATATTATATTTTAGAAAATATGTTAATTATTTTGTATTTAATTATTATCTTAAAAATATATTTTTATATTATAAAATTCAAGTGAATTTACTGATTGATTTGTAACTTCTCCATGATTTTTGTAATTTTACTTATTTGTTATATTTTTAATAATTTTATGAATAATTTATCATATAGTAAAATAAATTTCTATTAATAATATTATAATTTTAGAAAATAAGATAATTTTTATGTATTATATTGTTATCTTTAAAATATATTTTTATCATAGAAATTAAAAATTAAGTTAAAATATATGATATATTCATATAAATTCATTTTATTTATAAATAAATTATATATAATATTATAAATATGATAAATTTTTTACATGTTAATTTTAAATTTTATAACAAAAAAGTATATTTTCAAGATAATAATACATAAGAATTAACTTATTTTCTAAAATATTAATTTAATTATTAATAATATAATTTTTATATCTTAATTTTAAGTTTTATAATAGAATAATATATTTTCAACATAACAACATAATACATAAGAATTATCTTTTTAAGTTTTATATATAAAAATATATATAATATTATAAATAGGATAATTTTTTTACATGTTAATTTTAAATTTTATAATAGAAAAATATATTTTCAAGATAATAATACATAAGATTTAACTTATTTTCTAAAATATTAATTTAATTATTAATAATATAATTTTTATATCGTAATTTAAGTTTTATAATAGAATAATATATTTTCAACATAACAACATAATACATAAGAATTATCTTTTTAAGTTTTATATATAAAAATATATTTTTAGATAATAAGATAATTCTTAAAATATATTTCTAGATAATAACATAATTCATAAGAATTATCTTATTTTCTAAAAGTATGATATATTCATATAAATTCATTTTATTTATAAATAAGTTATATATAATATTATAAATAGGATAAATAAACAAAATTACCTAAACTTATGGATAACATGACAACTAAGCAAATTCTTAAAGACGGCAAACTTATGATGTTTTGCTCGCACTTGCGGTCATAATTCTCTAATAAATATTTATTAGTTGATGTTTCATTAATTTAAAAATCAACATAATAAATTATTATTTATGTTTTCAAAAAGTATAAATCAAACATCAAATAATTATCAATGACAAAACTAAAACGTCAGAAATATTTAAAAGAATATATTTCTATAATTATTTTGCTTGATTTATATTTAATTATAATATTTGTACTTAATTTATATTTTATTATAATTTTTTATACCTTAATTTTAAATTTATAATAGAAAACATATTTTTAAGATAACAATATAATGAATAAGTTATTTATTTTTAATTATATAAAATTATGGAAATTATGACATATAAATGAGATTGCCTAAAATCACGGAGAACTTAATAAATCAGCAAATTCACTTCTTAAATAATTTTCTTGAGTGATGATTTATATTTCATTAATAATATATTATTTTCTATTTTACTTTTAAATTATATAATATAAACATATATTTTCAAAATAAAAATTTAATACATAAGAATTACTTTATATTCTAAAAGTATAATATTATTAGTGTAAATTTATGTCAACTATAAAATAAATACAACTTTTTATATCTCAACTGTATTTTCAAAATAACAACTTAATGCATAAGAAGTATCTTTTTTGCTAAGAATCTAATACTATTAATACATTTAAAAAAATAGAATAAATAATCTATAAAATTTTAGAAATTATGATAAATTATCAAAATTACCTAAAATCATAAAATATGACAAATCAGAAAACATCAAATTCACTTCTTAAATAATAGTATATATTTTTTACATGTTAATTTTAAATTTATAATAGAAAATTATATTTTCAAGATAACAGCATAATACATAAGAATTAATTTATTTTCTAAAATATCATATTATTAATATAAATTAGTTTTAATTATATAATCAATTATAAACAAAATTAAAGAAATTCTGATAAATGATCAAAATTAGCTAGGATCATGAAGACAAATCAACAAATTTACTTATCAAATAATTCTTTTAATGATTTATATTGAATTATTAATAATATAATTTTATATCTTAATTTAAGTTTATAATAAGAAAATATATTTTCAACATAAGAACATAATACATAAAAATTGTCTTATTTAGAAAAAATATAAAATTCTTAGTATAAATTCGTTTTAGTTTTATAATAAATAAATAATTTTTATATCTTAATTTAAAATTTAATTTTTATATATAAAATATATGTCAAGATAACAACATAATTCACAAGAATTATCTTATTTTCTAAAAATATGATATATTCATATAAATTCGTTTTATTTATAAATAAATTATATATAAATATTAAAAAATATGATAATAAACAAAATTACCTAAAGTTATGGAGAACATGATAAATAAGCAAATTTACTTCTTAAATTACAGCTAATCATCATAAGATAAAGTAAATCCGAACAGGATACACGTAACTCACATAACCATTTTATATGGTAACATTTGAAACTTAATGACACCACTTTCTTTTTGTTAATTGATCAAAACCAATCATGAAGGGGCACAAGTCAAATAACCCATCTTCAATGAAAAATATATATCAGAAATGGTATTTATATAACTAATAGGTACTAAGTACTAACATGCGTCTTTGTGTAGGATAATATTATTAATTTCTTTATTTTCTAAGATAAAAAGATATTACGTACGTTTAATTTAAATTAGGTGTTTTGTCCGCACTTGCGGGTATAATTCTCTTATGAATATTTATTAGTTGATATTTTATTAATTTAAAAATCAGTATAATAAGTTATTATTATTTATGTTTTAAAAAAGTACAAATCAAATATCAAATAATTATCAATGACAAAGCTCAAACATCAGAAATATTTTTAAAAATATATTTCTATAATTATTTTGCTTTATTTATATTTAATTATAATATTTATAAAAATATTTTAATTAATTTATAATTATAATTTTTTATATCTTAACTTTAAATTTTATAATAGAAAACATATTTTCAAGATAACAATATATTGCATAAGTTATTTATTTTCTAAAAATATAATATGATAAATTTGTTTTAATTATATAATAATTATATAAGATTATAAAAATTATGACATATAACTAAATTACCTAAAATCATTGAGAACTTAATGAATCAGCAAATTCACTTCTCATATATTTTTCTTGAGTGATGATTTATATTTAATTAATAATAGATAATTTTTCTATTTTACTTTTAAACTATATAATATAAAAATAATTTTTCAAGATAACAACAAGATACATAAGAATTACCTTATTTTCTAAGAGTATAATATTATTCGTGTAAATTTTATTTCGATTATAGAATAACTACAACTTTTTATATTTTAATTTTAAATTTCTAATTTTTTAAGACAACGACTTAATATATAAGAAGTATCTTATTTTCTAAAAATCTGATAGTATTAATATAAATTTGTTTAAATATATAATAAATTATATATAAAAATAGAGAAATTATGATAAATTATCAAAATTATCTAAAATTATGGAAAATATGACAAATCAGCAAACATCAAATTCACTTCTTAAACAATAGTATAGATTTTTTACATGTTAAATTTAAAATTTATAATAGAAAAATATATTTTCAAGATAACAGCATAATATCTAAGAATCAACTTATTTTATAAAATATCATATTATTAATATAAATTATTTTTAATTATATAGTCAATAATAAATAAAATTAGAGAAATTTTGATAAATGGTCATAATTAGCTAGGATTATGGAGACAAATCAACAAATTCACTTTTCAAATAATTTTTTGATGATTTATATTTAATTATTAATAATATAATTTTTCTATCTTAATTTTAAGTTTTTTAATACGAAATATATTTTCAACATAGCAACATAATACATAAGAATTATCTTATTTTAGAAAAATATAAAATTATTAATATAAATTCGTTTTAATTATATAATAAATATAATAATTTTATATATTAATTTAAAATTTATGTTTTATATATAAAATATATTTCAAGATAACAACATAATTCACAAGAATTATCTTATTTTCTAAAAATATGATATATTCATATAAATTTCTTGTATTTATAAATAAATTATATATAAATATTAGAAATATGATAAATAAATATATTTACCTAAACTTATGGAGAACATGACAACTAAGCAAATTTACTTCTTAAATACTAGTATAGATCTAATTCAATCACTTCGAGATCCAGTCTGGTATAGTTAAACCAGTTATTAGACCCAACTCAACTATGTAACCGGTTCGAACCTGGTCCAACCATCGGGTTAGTGTAGTTTTAAAACACTGGTTTTCCTTAGCTACTTTTCATTAACTAACTTATTATAATGTTAGACCTGGGTGTACATTTGGAACATCAAATTGATACATTTGTAGATTATGTTTGGACAATACATCGTACAGCTCTGTTGTCACCCATCTTTCCAATCCAAGCAAATTGTATATCTTCAAACTTGTGCTTCCACCAGTTGACTTCTATGGTCCAGTTGTATCTTGCCATTAATCAAATCAACTATCTTCTTGCAATTTGAGAGTGGAATGTTTTGTTCTTAATAATCAAGCAGCCGTTTTTTACATGAAAAGCTATTATATCATTCAAGTTAGAGGTGGTATGAGAACTATAGAGGCTATATGGACAGTTGAGTGATAATTCATATATATTCGTATATATATATATATATATATATATATATATATATATATATATATATATATATATCTTAATGTAGGGAAGATGAGAAATAAAACTATATAGACTATAACTGTAAAAAAACATGAGATAAAAGAAACGATAAGCTTAGTTTAACTTAAATAAGCATCCTCAACTGTGTAAAATATGAATGACAATTAATCTTCTCAATGTTTTCTTTGCTTCGGGACAAATTCTGACATCTGATATCAAAATGTCCAGCTTCATCATAATCTATGTAACGCTTATGCATCCCCCTAAGTTTGATGTGAAGCTCGACGTCGTCGGTTCCATTTATTAATTCTCCAGCATCGAAGACCAACGAGAAAGCCGTGTGATCTCCATACTTACGCTCATGAACGATGTAAAAAACCGCGACGTTTACATCACCGAACCTCACTGAAGCATCAGGGTCGTTGTAATAGATAGAATATCTCGAGCTAGGGTTTCTTACGAGGAAGTCCACGTGATACGTGGCGGTCGATGGAGAGATGGCTATGGATTGGATGGAGAATTTTGCGTGTTGGTCTGCTTTGTCTGTGAACAAGAAGATCAAGAACATGGCCATGGCAGTGAATAAGCTGCCTAAAAGGGGTGAAAAGTAAACCGCAGATTCCTTGAAAGTGGCAGCACGATCCCCAGTTGCTGGCATAGTCACTATAGGACGTGACCACCACCTCCCATGACGACGAGTGTCGGAGGGCGTAGGATATCCGAAGGGATTAGCACTGGTTTGGGAAGCCATATCCTTTTTTGTTTGTTTAGAGAGAAAAGAGATTGTTATTGTTGTTTAGGTTCCACGTTTAAAAGTGATGTTAATTTCATTAATTATAGAGACTACTAAAAAGCCAATCTCGTATTTTTCTTTATTTTTTATTTTGTTAAAAAGCGTGCGTGGATAAAGATAGTTTATTCTTCTGATATTTCCTCGAATATCAAAACAATAATCGAAACTGGATTAATATATATCATCATTTAGATATATACAAAGTTCTAGAATAATCAGCTTTGGCGACAGCACATAGAAATAAAAACGTTATCATTACGAGAGAAACTGAAACGCGTATGATTGAACAGCTTTGTTCACGGCCCAATAAGCAAAGTCAAAGGCCCAAAGATTGAAATAGCGTTTTGCCGCCATTGACGCATTCGATGACGTAAACATCAAGGAAGCTTCAAATGAGATTAGATTCTTCAGGTATCTGAAGTCACTAAACACGTAATGCCTTTTCCTCTCTGACAATCTTTCTAATCTTTTTGTATATATATATATAGACTCTTGGATTCAATTTTGAATAACAAGAAGAAAAAGATAACAAACAAGAAGTCGAAGAACAAGAAGAACATTCAAGCCTAAGTCACTAAAATGGCAGGAATAGAATCTGCGTCTAAAGAAGGAAGAAGGGTGGTGGTCATCGGCGGAGGAATCGCTGGCTCCCTCGCCGCGAAGTTGCTTCAGTTCGATGCTGACGTCACCCTCATCGATCCGTAAGTCTTTAAAACACAAACTTTAATCTCATATCATAATCTTAGATAAAATAAAATCCCAGATCAAAAATAATCGTTGATAAAAAAAATAATAATAATCTCAGATCAGAATTTTGAGCTCATGTTTTTCTTTTATCAAATTTAAGCTCAAGTTATTGTTGAAAATATTCAGGAAGGAGTACTTTGAGATCACATGGGCGAGCTTGAGATCCATGGTGGAGCCTTCCTTTGCTGAAAGAACAGTTATCAACCACAAGAACTACTTCAAGAACGGTCGTGTTGTTACCTCTCCGGCGGTCAACATCACGGAGACTGATGTAATGACTTCAGATGGAGATGTGATTGGATATGATTATCTAGTGATTGCGACAGGTCACAACGACTTGCTCCCCAAAACCAGACAAGAGAAACTCTCACAATACCAAACAGGTATAATGTCATCATCATGGCCAGTACTAAGCATAGGCTAGTAAAATATTAGTTTGTAGCTCTTAAAATTTAAGAAAAAAACATATATATATATATATAGACCCCCAAATTGTAAGTTCTTTTTTTTATATAAATCTTTACTAAATTGTCTATAACTCCAAAATTTCAGAACCGGTCCTGATCATTATCACTTGAACAATGCTTGTAATAAAACTTAAGATACAGACCAATGAAGATTGTGTCTTTTGAATGCAGAATATGAGAAGATCAAATCTTCTAAATCAGTTCTGATTGTTGGTGGAGGACCGTCTGGTGTGGAGCTAGCTGCAGAGATAGCAGTTGATTTTCCGGAGAAGAAAGTCACATTGGTGCACAAAGGAGCAAGACTGCTTGAGTTTATTGGAGAGAAAGCTGCTGACAAAGCATTTGACTGGTTAAAATCCAAGAAAGTGGAAATGATACTGAACCAAACCGTGGATTTGAACTCAGCTTCAGATGGTAACAAAACATATAAGACTTCAAGAGGTGAGACTATACACGCGGATTGCCATTTCCTGTGCGTTGGGAAGCCTTTGTCTTCTCAATGGCTCAGTGGAACCGTTTTGAAAGATAGTTTGGATGGTAAAGGAAGGGTCATGGTCGATGAGCATTTGAGGATTAATGGTAGAGAAAATGTATTCGCCATTGGAGATATCACTAATATCCCTGTAAGTTCACAAGACCATATAAAACATTTTCAGTTTATTTACATAGTTTCTTGTTTTTGATTTGTATGATTTTGTTCTAATGATAGGAAATGAAGCAAGGATATATAGCGGAGATGCATGCTAATGTGGCTGTGAAGAACATAAAGGTAATGATGTCTGGTGGTGAAAAGAAGAAGAAGATGTCAACTTACAAGCCCGGATCAGAGATGGCTATTGTTTCTTTAGGAAGAAAAGACTCGTTGGCTCAATTTCCGTTTGCGACGGTTATTGGTTGCCTCCCTGGTTTGATCAAGTCCAAGGATCTATTCGTGGGGAAGACGAGGAAGACAAGAGGACTAAACCCTAAACGTGTACAAGGTTGAGTCCTTTAGTTGATGTTATATCATGTTTGTGTTGTGCTTGTGTTTGTTTCTACATTTGATCTCATTGTTTCAGTGTGGAGTGATTGTTGGTTTTTGCTTATGTTGCTTGTGTACGTTGTATTAATAGTACTGATTACTTGAGTTCCAGTTTCACCTTCATTCACAAAAAGTTCCTTTACAAAAACTAAACTGGAAAATTGATACGGAAATAAGTTTTAACCAAAACAAAACATAAACCGATGTATATAGTGTATTATATTCTGTGGTAATTTTGTTCTCTCTTCAAAATTAGTAATTTTAAAAATGTCCAAAAATTGATTATAAATTAAAAGTACAGAAACATCGCTTTTTGAAAATCTCTGAAACCATCAAAATTGATTATAAATTATTAGTATTTGTTTTGATTAAAATGATGGTATTGTTTGTTTCATAAGCATATGATGTATCAGATTGTTTGTTTACATGAGATTGGTTACTTTTGATCCAGATTGGGAAGTCTTGCTGATCGTGATCAACATAGTACATTACTCTTTGTACAAGAGTTGCCTCAAATATCTAAGCTTTCTGTTGAAGAACCTGAACTGGAAGGACGTGGGAGGGGCACTTTTACGTATACAAAGGATGTGACGTACATTGATCGAGACTTGCGTGAGCTGAGGTTTGAAGATTGAAAAGATGACGATATGTCTTGTGGTTCGTGAATCACTGAAATGTAAGCTGTTATGGTTATGTTTCCCTTCTCTTTTTAAATTGTAGTATCTGTAACAAGCCTAGTTAGTATAGTTCGATTAGGGTATCTATGCTTGACAGTTCTAAGCAAATGCAGCCAAGTATGGAACACGCCATGTCCTCGTACTTTCTGGCTTTTCTCCAAGCTTGAGGACCACTGATTTGGAGAAGCTTTTTGTGGACTCCAAAGATAGTGGATTTCTCATTCGTTGGGTGGATGATACAACAGCACTCGCAGTCTTCAAAACCCCTTCTACTATGTAATCTGATTTTCTCCATACATTTATAGGTTTAGTATCTTGACAGTTAAAGCTCAAATGTAATTAGTTCTGCCTTTGTTGCTAACTGAGTATATAAATCAGGTTAGAGCTTACACTAAAGCTCTTAACTCGCTGTTGTTGTGATGATTAATACAGCTCATGATGCATGTAAAAGTGTTCAGTACGTGTTCTCAGTGATCACGATGCTCTCTTAGGCTCAGTATCTGGAAAAGGTAATCCACTCTTCGTTTTTTCTTCCATTGTTATGCAAAATAGTTCTTGGTTTTAATCAGAATAAAGACCTTTTCCTCCAAAACTCATTCTTTATGTCATTCTTCCATAATCCGCTTGGTCAAGCTGTCTTATTAATGAAACACCAAAACTCATAGATGGGGACATCTTGTGTTTCTTTATCATGACACATATGTTATGTTCAACACTTCAGATTTGGAACCGCCGTCTCAAAGACCAAAGACATCAGTGAGAACAGCTCAACGGTCGATTGCTCACAACATGGGATTGAAGCTACCGGCTTCTGGTTCGGGTCTAAAGAGCTAAGAGGCCAAGAAGCTGCTAGGAAAAACTGTATTGTCTTCAGACAGAAACAAAGGGACGATGCTTGACATTGACCCTACCATACGGTTCAGGTTGCCCAATTCATTTGTGTTAGGCTTATTGGTGTATACATTCAGATTACAGTCTCAGTGAACCTTACATAAGAATTGTTAGTGTTTGTTTTGTAGTGTTGTGTCTTAAATTAATGGAATGTTCAGTAACAGTTGTTCCAGGAAAAAATATGTCTGCAATTCCTACATAAATCAACTTAAACAACAGAGAAAAATGGTCAGGTCTTGATACATTGATGTCCCAAAAACCGTAATTGTATGATATACCTTTACATTTTCACCCTTCGTTTTTATTTCATCGTCATCTTTTTGTCCTTCTCTATTCATTCACATTTACGGGAAAGCAAACATTTATTTTGAGGTCCTTTTGTTTTAACATAACAAATTTCAAAAGGATAAAATATATATTATCAATCGTCTTAAAATGTCTAAATAATTTTGATTTGAACGGAATCAAAGTTGGGACATCCTATTGTAGAAAAATGTTCTTACGAAACATACAATTGGTTAGAATAAAAAACAAGAAAACATCGGTGTGACCAATCACCAAACACTAAATATACCCAACATAATGTATCTCTTTACAAAAAGATGAAACAGTAAAAGCTATGTCTCGTCAAGAAAATATCAAAAGAGATTACAATCTACTTAATTGCAATTAAACCCTCAATGAATTGTACGGACGATCGGATATATCATATAAGTTATAACGAACGTTTTGTCCGTACGTTGAACTCTAAGTCACTCTTCATTTGGCCATTCACTTTTCTTTAGCATACACAAAATTAATCCGGTAACAACTGAAAATACCTTTGCACTCATTTAACAACTAAAATGTAATTAATCCGGCAACAATAAAATAACACTAAGTTACAAAAAAAGAAGAAGCATAACACTATGTAAATGTTGTTATAATTTTTTTTTCTTTTTGAATAAGACCTCTATTGGTATGACATATGATAAATCATTAGTAGTATACTGCAGAAGTTTTATTCTTTCATTAAAGTTTTTAATAAAGTGATTGACACAGATGTAGTAGTATACAATTTTAAAATTATCATAATAGTTGGTATAATAAAATATTTATTTTAAATATATTTCTATATTTATAATATATATATATTAATAATATATCTGCTATTAAAAATAATGAATCTTATTCATTATATAAATTATAAATTATAGTATAGTTTATATGTAATATATTATTATTTAAAAATGTAAAATTTGTTTTAAAAAATTAAATTACTTTTGGATATGAACAGAATTTAATATTATTAAATAAATAAATAAATTATATAATATATATATACTATTATTGTTTGTTTATTGGTAGAGCAGTAAGTGATTCATATATAAAATTAATATATATTATATAATTGATTTCTTAGTGTCTAAATAATTATATATATATATATATATATTCATAATTTATAAATGTATATGATGTTATGTTTGTTATTAAAATAATGAATGATATGTGTAATTATATAAATTATATCATATTTTAAATGTGAAATATTGTTCTTTTAAATAATTTTAAATATTTAATTATAATTTTAAAAATTATAAAAAAAAATATTAGAAAATTATTTTTATATTATTAAACTAAAATAAAATATTTATATATAATTATATTTTAATTTTTATATATTTTAAGTGCAAATGGTTTTCCAAAATTTTCATTTGAGAGCATTGAGCAAAGAATATTTGGAAATCATTAGCATTTGGTAAGTGTTTTTCTAAATGTTTATTTGACAAATATTAATTGGATAATAGAGAGTATAATGTTTATACTAATGTTCTACCAATCGAGCTTTACTTATTCTAAAAAAATACCTGATGAACTTGCTACTTGCGTAAGGTGTTATTTGATAATTGCTCCTTTATTCTCATTTAAAAAAAAAAAAGAAAATTGAAATACAATAAGTTGTAACCACATACAAAATATATTTATAACAGTGAAAGTTGCTTTTTCATCTTTTGTTGTATGCCTAGTCTCATATGAATCGGTGCCTTCTGAATCCTTATTTATTGTCGGCCACCTTTCTATTTCTTTTGGTTTCACTACGCAACATCTTAATCACCGTACTTCGGTAGACATTTTTGGGACAAACTTGGTTTTTATGATTCGATGAAAATGCCAAATAAAGTGTATTTTTGTAAGATTTAGCATGAGAAATTCGAGTCTTGACGATGAGCATGTCCCTTGACAACCTAGCTACCAAGGATAAAACATCCCAAAAAGTCTAAATGATCTAGTGATCCAATATTCGAACACAAACGAATCAAATGTGTAACTGTAACTTAGTTATGTTCATGTGGTTTTAGAGGTGAGACATACATATGCTCCCCCAAACACCTATATGAAATGCTAGTTGCGTGCAAGATAGTGAAGGTAATTATCAAGAATATAGTAAGTGGTGCATACAGTTTAATCCAATCCACAGCATGGCCATGGGACATACAGAATGACAAATGACTTGAGATCCACAAGACTCACGTGTGAATATATCATGCATAAACGTAACCGTACGAGATTTGCATGAGATAATGTCCTTGTTTTAATTGGATGGTTGAGAGCAACAGTAAAGTGATAATATCATTTCTATAGTTTAAGTTTCTTCTCAAATAGATAATGAAGAATATTGTGAAAAAGATGAAATTCGTTCGGGTTGTACACCATTTAGCATATCTGTGCGTTGGGTCCTTTCGCTCCACTTCCAATTATTCTTGCAAGTAATCAATATGAGCCGTTTGATCTCGCCGCCACTGGAACGGTGGCTCAAAAGACTTATTAATTAGACAATGGACCTTCACATAACTTTTGACACTGTTGACGTTAGGTTACTAATTAGACGTTTTTTTCTTTATATCAAAATGCATAATATAGGTATTTTTGGTAAATACCTATATTAAAGAAGTGATGTCTCATTTTGGAAGATAAATGTAAAAAAAGTCTTTTTTTTTTCTAAAAAAGAAGAAGGTATGGGTAATCACTAATTTTTACTAGACAATAACCTTAAGTCATTTTATTTGGCACATTTGGCATCCTATGATTTGTCAAATTTGGTACACTAAAATTGACAACACAAGATGGAAAAATTCCATCCAAAAGAAGAAAAATTCTCATTCTCCCCAATCTTTTTTGTTTTGTATTTTCCACCTTTGTATTTTGTTTTCCTTTTCCACTACAAATAAATAATCAGTAAGATAGAAAACTGTGTTCTTAATGCTAAGTTTTGCTTCATCCATCTCTTTATTTCTCTGTCACCATCCATTACATTTTTCAAATATATATATATACATGTGTGTGTGTGCATTATAAAGTGGATGCAACCAATCTTGCTCAATGATTTATGAACACTAAACAAAATCTATATTTGACGGAGAATTAAAGAAAAAAATTCAAGAATTTTATTCGGAAAACTTGTAAAATCATCTCCAACTCATTTCAATTTTTCACTAAAAAATAGAGTTTTAAATAAATATAATTCATCCATACTTTAATTTTCACTCTATAATAGAATAAAAATAGGTTTATCCCATAATAGACTTTTTTTTTTGTTGAACAGTCTATTTTTACCCAAAAATAGAATATTTTAGAATAGATTATCATTGTAGTAGAACTCAATTCCATTATAGAATACTCTAGTTTTTATACAAATATAAAGTAGTGATCCATCAGACATAATCTAGTGATATGAAAACTTGCAGACAAGTAAGACACACGGTTTAAGGTTTAGTTTTGATTTTAAAAATAAAAGATTTCAAACTAAGATTCATATATTTATTTAATTAGGGTAACAAGGTCTGTTAACACCTTAATTTCTTTTTGTTTAACGTTGACACTTTGAATAAAAATATAAAACTGGAAGCCATATTTGATTCAATAAAAACTATTCTACCTACATTTTCTCACGTTTTGGAGACATTGTGTATTTGTAAATTTCCTACCAAAAATATACGTTAGACGAATATAAGTATGACTAATGAATATGAACTAAGAAAATAGAAGTATTGGAATTTTTCAGTGTAATTAATACTTTGCTGCTTTATTTGCGAAAATGGGTCGTAGGACCGTCGGACTCAGAGCATCTCCAATGGTGTTACCCACCATTGGAGTCCTTAGGATTAGATTAATAGTTTGTTTTTTTTGGAATAGTTAAGGATCCTAATAACAAATATTGCTCCAATGGTGTTATCTATTATGGAATCCTTAGGTATTAAAAATAATAAAATTGTAAAACATGTAAATTTAAAACATCACTAGGATGATAAACACTCAAAACATGCAAGATTTACAGGTTTATAGTTTGGGTTAATTACCTGCAAACCTCGTCCACAGCAATTGGTTTATGACAATGAAGGCAACATAAACATTCAGGATGCCAAAGATCACCAAATGCATTGCTGGTGTTGTGTGTTTCCTAATATTGTCTTCTTCACAGTCCATCTGAGCTCAATAGAAGATTTTCAGCCTTTAAATCTCTGAGACAATAACAATAACTAATATAGTAATATATCTGGCTGATGGAAAAAAAAACAAAAAACAAAAGAAATCTAATGAACCCACCAGTGAGCAATGCGTGGGGATAGAGAATGCATTGCAAAGACAGCATTACACACATCTCTGAAAATCAAAAGAACCTGTTTCTCTTCAAAGTAACCAGCACCGCTGTTCTCAAGCACTTCCACAAGAGATTTCCCACAAAACTCCATAGCCAAAAGAGCTTCCTCCTTGTTCCTCCCCCCAAAACTATAATCTTTCATCACGAGCTCAAGCTCAATAAGAATGCTGCGCAAACATAAATTAAAAACTATACATTTCAGATAACAATGGCATAAATCAAACATCCATATTTTAAAAACAGTTTCTCAGACAAGAAACTAAACAAAGTAGAAATCAAAACCTAAAAAAGTATACTCTTTGTTCAATGTTACATAACAACATAGATGGGAGCTACAAACTGAATCCCTAACCAGATCAATAAAGA